GAGCAGCAGCAGCGACAGGAAGCCTCCGGTTGGCCATGCTGCTTTTGGCCTCCCTCAATCCCTCATCTCTTTGTGGGGCCTCAGCGCGATTGTGCCTTGGTCGTTTTTGCGATTAATTGCTTTGGACATATTGTCAATGAAAATGGCGCTGCTGCTGCTGTCGTTGTTGTTGTATTGTCCCCCAGGTCGATCTTTTGGCCCATTTCGAGACGATAAACGAACAAAATTTCCCCAAAGCTTATTGTGTTTTGTGAAAAATTTTGTATATTTCTGGAACTGTATTGAATTCACACTAGAGATTAAAGATTAGGGTACAGGAAAACTGGACTATTTTTGCCTCCTAGTTCCTTGGATAATTGCAATCATCCTTCTTACTTTCCTTATTTCCGGGATGAATTGTCTAGACGGAAATGTATGCACGCTAATATGACGTAATCACAATGTTTTTTTAGGTCTGTGCAGCTCGTAATAAAAACTGCTTGAAGGATTTGAGATGCTTTTCTCTTTAAATTTTTAATAAAAATCGAAACTTCCTCCGTATTCGCCCACTGTAAGAGCCGGAACCTCGCTAACAATGGCCCAAGCTGTAGCAAGAGAATATTAATTATGCTGTTTATAAATATAAAATTATATTAAGTAATAGCCTTCCCACATAAACGTACTGCATAAGCCTTTAGTCTCACGATATTTCTGATAATTAAATGATCAGGAATGTTTCGATCCATTATGCCAACAGTAACCACCAACTGGCAGATCTTTTAAGGTTTGCTTACAAGCAAGCTGATGGCGAGCTAGACTCCCTGGCATATTGCAATAACAGTTTGCCAACGAAACAAATAAACTAATCCAACGAACAGCTGGCGGATTTGAATAATAAAGATATTAATGGTGATATATGTCCAATCGTGGGAGATTAGCATGTTTCGGAATCCAACGATAATATTCATAAAATATAAAAATGTATTAATCGCATGAATAGGAATGTTTCGATCCATTAAATCGTATACATTTCTGCGTTAACTGGATCTCATCAGTGCTGCGAGTATGGTGTTGATTGGTGTATAAGGGGTATTGTAAAATAAATGTGTGAAGGGGCTAATTTATTGAATACTAGATAACAGGTGGTAATTATAAAACGTAGAAACTTGCATTAATGAGCCTCGACCCTACTACACGACATGAGTGCTGCCCGCTGCGCTGAACCCCCCGCAATGTTTCAGCTCTGAATAAGTTCAGAAAAGGTAATCTTTTCGTCCTGGTAAAATTGATCCCCAGTTATCCATTTTGATGGTGAATTGGTCGGGCCATGAATTCGTTTTCCTGGTACGTGGCTGAAAAGATCGAAGTTCCTTTCAGTGCACTCAGTAGCCGTAACCTGAAACATTGTTGGCCTTCGTTACATTCACATCAACGTACATATGAATGCTGGCACATTGGCTTTTCTTCTTCACCTTTCTTGGATTTTTTTTTTGTGCGTTCTTAGCGGCCCTCACTGGAACTGAGGCTTCTTTTCCAGGTGTTTTACTTTCGATTTTACATTTAAATTGACATAAATGTGCTATTGGCACCTTAAAATTGCTGGTTTCATCGCCGGTATCGACAGCCCTCCTTTTCCCTTCTTTTCTTCCATCTTTTCCATATTGCTGTGGTTATTGTTATGCTAATTATGAATGAATACATGTGCTTCATGCAGGAAAAAAGAGCTGGATGACATTTAAATAACTGTAATTATCATCGTTATCATTACTGTTGTTACTGCGTTATCATTGTTACTGTGATGATTATATTTTCAGTGTATTTTACTAATAATGTTAATATATTGCTATACTATGCCGAGCGCAGCATCCGGGATAACCCTGGAAGCATAAGGCGTAATAGAATGAGTAGTATAAAAAGAGAAGGCCAAAGTGAGATGAGGCATTTCGGTCCATTAAGTCATATATGTCTTAGCTCGACATCACGACTGGACCTCGCCAATATGACGGTCGCAGTGCCTAATGAGAAAAGGAAGGAGGAAATGGAAAAGAGAGAAGGAAAGGTGGGAGAAAAGAGAGAAGAAAACTGTGATAGAGGGGAGTAACAGGAATATGAATGGAGTGAGGAGGGAGGAAGAAAAGGTGAGAGGTATGATATTAAATTTATGATTAGAGTTTAAGAATTTCATGATTAGATAGGAAGATTAGAAAGGAATCTAATATTTATACATTATTATTATTATTATTATTAACTTTGTTTTTCATTATAAATATTATCATTCGATCTTTATTTCTCGTGAATCTTGCCGCACAATCGACTCTGTTTGTTGTGATGCTCTCAGCTCATGCCTAGTGAAGTTTTTTTTCAGGATTTTGGGTATTTGATATGCTGTTTCATCATCATCCCTCTTCTAGCTGTTCAACTTTGCTGAGGTTTTATCCTGTTTTATAGAGCGAAGCCACATCACTTCTGCTTATCTGTTATTTCTAACTTATTTCACACTATCATTTGTGCCATAAACGATGACGAAAGATCGCCTAAGCGCTCTGAAAGCGGTTTGTTCCTTTTTCCGTGATTTTCTTTTTTCTTTTTCTTTTTCTTTTGGGAGAATTTTCCGGACTTTTGTGTTTTACTAAAACTGATACAGAGTTTGTTGAAATTTTCCGTTGTTTATTTGGTCCGAGGGGTGATTTTTTGAAAATGTTTGCTTTCAGGCGCAGTCGGACGATGAACGCGAGGATGATCTCGGAGCCGACAGTGCCCAGGGGCAATTCATGGAAGAATTTTTCGAACAGGTAATGGGGTTTTTTTCGTTTCAAAATTTTACAGTTATATCGTCGGTTTTGGTACTTTTTATGCTCAGTTTAAAGAATTCGGACGTACGCTTGCATAATTACTGGTTCATTTTGTGTGGCGCAGTTTAAAGTAGTAGCACTTTCTCGACTAAAGTCGAGATACCCACTTCGCTGGTAGGGCAATGAACCCCTATATAACTCTGTACAATTCGTTCATTCGTTTCGACGCTGACCTGCAGGGGATTCACATCCGTAATCAGCTTTTTTTTTTAAAAATTATCTTTGCAGGAGATAATTTTTAGCAGTTTTGCCAGTGGGTAATTGCTGGTGGCATGTGCCACAAATCAGGCTGCCCACGGGGGGCAGCAGAGAATGAGTGCATAAGGTTCGACCTCCATGACTTTGATATCGTCGGCTTTGCAGTCCGAATAAATATATATTGACCAGTGAACATGATATCCTGATTAGCGCATCGAAAAGTTATGCTGCTGCCCTTTTGCCATAATATTTGGACAGGAACTGATCATTGGTTTTAACACTTTGGCCACGGAAATTCCAGTTCCTAGACGTTACAGCGTCCTTTCGTCAGAGATTTCGAATTGTTCTTCAGACAGACTTTGAAGGTGGAAAACACTGAAAGCCATTCTTTAGCCGCTGAATTGTGCGTGATCAAAACTTTTTTTTGTTATTAAGACTGCTCCAGTGAGATTTATTTTCATTGTCGGATCTGTTTGCTTCAGTTATTTATTGATATC